GGGGCTGGGTCCCGGGGGGGTCTGTAACCCAGGGCAAGGCTGGCAGGGGGCTCAGGTCCCAGAGGGTCTGTACCCCAGGGTGGGGTGCCAGGGTTCTGGGGTCTTGGCGTGGGGTATCTGTATCCCAGGGCAAGGCTGGCACAGGGGGCTGAGGTCCCAGGGGGTCTGTACCCCAGGGCGCGGGTGAATCTGTATCCCAGGGTGGGAGTGTCAGGGGGCTGGGATCCAGGCGGTGAGGGGGTGTGGGGGGGGTCTGTACCTGACAGCAAGGCTGGCTGGGGGCACACACACAAACACACACACACACTGACCTTGCGCAGTTTGTTGAGCAGCTCGGGGATGCCAGCCAGGCGGTTGGTGGCACGCTGGTAGTCGCGGTACTGGAGCACCAGCTGCACCATCTCAGGGTCCCCGGTGCTGACGGCCTCCTGGAGGACTGGAGGAGGGGCAGAGAGGGAGCAACACGGAGCCATCAGGCATAGGGCACTGCCTGTCCCCGCTGCACACTGGCACCCAAGCCAACTCCCTCCCCTGCACACCACCCGGGCAAGGCCAGCACCAACCCGTTGCCCTGGGCATGCAAAGCCAGGTATCCAATGGCACGATACAGGGCCCTCTGCTGGCGAAGTCCAGGTGTGAATCCTGGGTCCATGGGCACCAGCCCCCTGGAGCATGGCAGAGGGGAGGCTGAGACCTCCAGGAATTAGTGGGGGAGAAATTCTGTGCCATAGGGCAGGAGCTGTGCATCAGAGGGGCTGGCACCAGAGCCGCCCAACTCCCCATAACTGCCCCCCAGCCCCCCATACCTGCCCTCCCGCAGCTCCGTGTGTTCCCCCCGCCAGTACCTGTCCAGCCATTGGCATTCTCCCTGCCCACGTTGGCGTTGTGCCGCAGCAGCACCCGGGCCGACTCGAGGTTGCCCAGTGACACAGCCAGCTCCAGAGGCGTGCGGCCCCGTGGGTCGATCAACTCGATATCGTGCTGAACGGGAACTGCGGGGTTAACAGCTGTACACCCCCCATGCCCCAGTGGGCGAAACTAGGGCCCCAGCTGTACCACTGCCATCCTGGAGGCCTGGGTCCCATTCCCCATCCTGGGCTCTGGCCTCTCTGCTGGGGCTGGAAGCTGTTGGGCCTCTATGGGTGAACATCCCGCACTACTATCCTGGGTCCCATTCTGCCTGCCCCCTTCCCATCCAAGGGGACTCTCCTGCCCAGCTCCTCAGCCTCACTCATTCAAAGATGCCCCTCCCATGGCAGCGAGGGGACGTGGGGCTGCCTTGTCCTGCCCCCTTCCCCTATGGCCCCTCTCAACTTGTTGTCAAGCTCCTGACTGTGGTTGTAGTGGGCTGCGGGCAGATATGGGATCATGGGGAGCGCTGAGGGCAGGGGATGTGGGTTTATGCCCTGAGATCACTCTCCAGAGCCTAGTGCTGGTTGGGGAGGAGAGATAAGGGGCTGGGAGGGCTATGGAATGGGGTCGATCCCACACCTGCCCTGTGAGCAGATCACACTCCAGTGCCTGGTACCGGCTGGGGAATGTGGGGACCTGGGGAGAAGAATCGGGGCAGGGGGGAGCTGATTGGGAAATAAGGGCTGGGGGCTGCCCGGGTGCAGCTTGCTCTCCAGCACCTGGTGCCATTTGGAGTGATGCTGGGGTGAGGCGGGGGGGGGGGCAGGTGGAGGGAAAGAAGAACCAGGGGGACCTGGGGTGGGGGGCACCTGGTGGGGTAGATGCTGGGTAGAGGTGTCAGGTGGAGGAATGGAGGATGGGGATACCAGGATCAGGGTACATAGTGGGGCGATGCTGGGGGTAGGGGATACTGGATGGAGAAGTGGGATTAGGAGGGTACCTGGTGCAGGTACTGGGGGGTACCAGAAGGAAGGGGTTAGGGGGTACCTAGTGAGGGTACCAGAGTGGAAAGAATGGAGGATAGGGGTCCTGGTGTGGGATACCAGATGAAGGGATGGAGGCTACTCAGAGGGGTGAGTAGCGAGGGTATTGGGGTGGGGTGGGGGTACCAGAGTGGAGAAATGGAGAATGGGGATCTGGAGTAGAGGAATGGGGATTAGGGGGTACCAGGGTTTAGGGGGTACCCAGTGGGGGGATGTGGGGTTAGGGGACACCTGGCGAGTGGTGATGCAGGGTTAGTGAGATGCTGGATTGAGGTTCAGGAGTGGGGGATACCTGGTGGAGGAATAGGAGTTAGGAGGGGATGCTCAGTGGGGGAGTGCCAGAGTGGGATATCCCAGATGGGTTATGGGGTACCTACACTGGGGGTTCCTGATGGGGTGGGGGAGGTCCCAGGGGAGGAGTTTGCCCAGTGGGGTGGGGGTCCTGGGAGGGGTTAGTGGGTCCCTGTGGTGGGGCTATCCATAGGGGTGGGCTGCCCTAGGGGATCCCAGGGGGAGGTTAGGAGGGTCCCCACAGTGTAGAGTCCTAAGTGTGCCTGGTGGGCTAAGAGGTCCTGAGGGGTGCCTGGTGGTGTGAGGGGGTCCCAGAAGTGCCTGATGGGTGGGGTTCCCCAGGGGGTCCTGGGGTGGCTGCAGCAGAGTAGGCATGCCCAGTGGAGTGGGGGATTCTGGGGAGTCCCGGGGGTATAGGAGTTGCCAGGTGACCGGTACCCAGCAGATGGACAGGGTGTCTGGTGGGACAGGGGTCAGTGGAGTGGGGACTGCATAGTGGGGTGGAGGTCCTGGGGTGTAGAATGCTAGGAGGTTAAGGGATGGCCGGTGCCTAGTGGGGTGGAGAATGTTAAGGGGTCCCAGGGTTTGGGGGGGCATGCTGGAGGGTTAGGGAGTCGCCCAGCAGGGTGGGGGTGCCCACAGTGTGTTGCCCAGGGATGCCTGGCAGGGTAGTGGGTGCTGGGGTGAGGTGTTCTGGGAATTTAGGGGATTTCCATGGCCTGTGTGTGGGGGGGTCCTGGGAATGCCCAGTAGAATGTTGGGGGGGGGGTCCTGGGAGGTCCCGGGGTGCCCAGCAGGGTGGAAGGTCCGGGGTGCCTTGAAGGGTTCCAGAGGTGCCCAGAGAAGCAAAGGGTCCCAGAGTCCCAAGAGTGCCCAGCGGGGTGGGGTAAATCCCGGGGAGGGTTCTGAGGGTGCCAGGCAAAGCCGGGAGGGGGGGCCCCAGAGGTGCCCAATGGGGTGGGGAGTATCCCGGGGGAGCTAGTGGAGCAAGGGGGATTTTGGGGGTGCCCGGTGGGGAGATCCCGGGGGGTCCAGGTGCCCAGCGGAGTGAGGGGTTCCCCGGGAGAGTCCGGGGTGCCGCTGGGGTCCCGGAAGGTGCCAGGGATGCAAGCGCGGAGGGGGGAGGGTCCAAGGGAGCGTCTCGCGGGAGCCCTGCGGGGTGGGGGAGGTTTCGGGGATGCCCGGCGAGGTGTGAAAAATCCCGGGGGGTCCCGCACCTGCCCCGTGCGCAGCTCGCTCTCCAGCGCCTGGTGCCGGTTGTGCCAGGCCAGCAGGTGCAGCGGGAAGGCGTCTCCGGCCTGGGCCATCCCGTCACCATGTCCCCGGCCCGGCCCGGCCGAGGCTGCGGCTGCCCTGCGCGGCGCTGGTGGCTCCGGGCTGCGGGGCCTGGCCCGGAATCGCTGCAGCGGCCGGGGGCGGTGGGGCGGGGCGGAGCGGCGCTGGGCGGAGCGCGCCGGGCGGCCTCGCTGGGCCCTGGCGCCCCCCAGCTCCGCCCGAACCATGTAGCGGCCTGGGGCGCCACTCCGCGCCTGACCCCCAGCTTAACTGCCCCTCGGGGGCGTCTCAACCCTGCCCTGCTGCACCCTAACTACTTTCTCTTGGGGCATCTCAGACATGCCCAGCCACAGATTAACTACCCTCCTTGGGGCATTTTAGCCCAGCCCCCTGCATCTTAACTGCCCTCCTTTGGGGCATCTGAGCCTTGTTCCCTTCCCTTGAGGCTACCTTAGCTCTGCCCACTTCCTGCATTTTAACTGCTTCCCTCTATGGGCCACCTGTCTCCCCTGCATCTTAACTGTCCCCCTTGTGGCATCTTAGCCCTGCCTGCCCCCCAGATCACCTTAACTCTGCTGCCCCCCGTGATAAGACCATGATAATAGGGCCTTATTGTAGTGTGGAAGCACACAGTGTGCGTCTACACTCCAAAGTGAAGGTGCAATTGCCATGTGGGCAGGATTAGCAATGCCAGAACTCCAGATAGCCATGTTAGTCTGTATCCACAAAAACAAGCAGCTTAAAGACTTAACAGATTGATTTGGGCATAAGTTTTCATGGGTAAAAACCCACTTCTTCAGATGCATGGAGGCTTGGCCATGCCAGGACTCTTGGCACCTGCAGCCTGTAGTCAGTTTCTCAAACAGGCTGGTATTGGGGTAGCTAGCCTCTTCCGTCATATCCTCACGGCTTTTCTTCCCTGCCCCAGCTAGGTTAGGGCTAGCATAGGTCTGCCACCTCCCCAGGCTGTGACACTGTACCCTGTGACTGGCAGCTCTTTGAGGCAGGGACTGTGTTCTGTGTGTACAGCACCTAGCACAACAGGGATCCTGGTCCACTGCTGGGCTCCTGTGCTACTACCATGCAAATAAATACCTGCAGCCTTACCGCTGCCCCTTTGCATGGGTGCATTGTGCTACAGGCTCTAATTACATGGGCACTTGTGAAAACTTACAGGAACCCCGGGCAGGGGGAGAGCTAAGACCTGCCTCCCTAGGGCAGGGACTTGCTTAGGGTTACGGAAATGGTTAACACAGGTTAGTGGAAGAGGCAAGATTTGAGCTCCTGGATCCCAGTCTAGTGCATCTTCCCCTAGGCCAAAGGGTATTTTGGGAGGGCGGGGGGGGGGCTAGAGATGGAATGTAGTTTCCAGTGAAATTGGCTCATCCCCTTTTTGCAGCACTGTTCATCCTGGCTGACCAAAAGGTGCTTTAACCAGCTACATAGCATGAGGGTGGAATTGCTTAAGCCAGCAGCACTAAGATGCAGCTTCTTCTGGGGCATGGCACAGCAACTGTTTACACTGGGATCCTTCACCTGGTACTGAGATGCAGGTGCCTCTGGGGTGGGATGCATCTACAGCATGTATGTGTCAACCAGCACTGAGATGCTGCGACCACTGGGGTGGGATGCAGTAGCTCTCTATATAAGTAACACCAGGCTCTGTGATGCATCGATCTCTGGGGTGGGATGCAGTAGCTGTATATATAACTAAAACCAGGCACTAAGATGCAGCCATATATATATAAATAATACCCAACACGGAGATGCAGCAGCAGCAGATGTAAATATTATCAAGCACTGAGATGCAGCCACCTCTGGGGTGGGATGCAGCAGCCATATATATAAGCATTACCGAACAACGAGATGCAGTCACCTCTAGGGTGTGCCATAGTGGCTGTTTAAAAGACCAGAGCAACACCCATCACAAGAGTCTGGCTAGCAGGAATGGTCACGTTTTGCTCTGTTTGCTTCCCACCCATACAACATCTCAGCCTGGGGGCTTGCTGAGGCATCTCCCCATTCGGGGTCCTGCATTTGCTGCAGTCCCAGGACTTGGCTACCCTGGGCACCCTGGCTGCTTCAGGCCAGCTTGGAGGCTGGGTCGGCTGCTGTGATGCAAGCACTGCTGCCATCTGTGCTTCCTGTTTGCAGGCAGAGCTGGTTTGGCAGGAGGGCATCTGGATCTGGGGAGGTGCCCCCCCCCTCCCCCCTCCCCGCAGTGTACAGGGCACTACTTTCTGCAGGGATAATGAGAAGTTAGGAAAGGCAGTGCTGGTGAATCATGGGGAATGCCAACAAAGGAATGCAGGGAGGTAGGCTGGAGTCAGTCAAGCTGGCCAGGAAGCCAGGATGGTGAACTTGCTTCTCCCCAAACATGCCAGGGATCTTTACCCACCACAAGGGGCACAAGGCACAGATTGGCTAGGCATGAGAAAGACCCCACCCCCACAGCACAGACCCTGCAGGTACACTGGGGTCAGCACTGACTGCAAGGGGACAAAATGCCCTCTACTGAGTCCCCACCCTGCTCCCTTCAGCACAGCACCTCTACTGCCCCCCCAGGCATTCAGAGCCAGCCCTGCCTGTCTGCTTTGCTCTGGGGCAGGTGCTGCCGGCTGCCTGAGCCGGAGAAGGGACTAACACTGCCTGGCTGTTGCCTTGTTCTATTACAGCTGGTTAAATCCACCTCTCAGCTGGAACCTCCTTCCCCCATTCAGCATCTTGGAGCCATTGTTTGCCTTGAAGCGAATCCCTGGGGAGGGAATGGTGGCAGGACAAGGGCCCAGCAGCTTCTGAAGCGAACACAGGCCTGGAGCATGGGGAGAACAGCGAGAGACACAGCCCTGCAGTTCCCATTCCAGCCAGGCGTGGGCCATGGCAACAGTTCACTGTCAGCTCATTAGCCACTGGGTGGTTTGGAAACCAGGGTGGAGCTGGCTCTGGGATGCTGGGGGAGGTGGGCACAGAGGGGCTGCCCCTGGGACCCACTGACTTTGACCCTACCCAGCAGAAACATGGGGCTCTTTGCTGGGCCCGGGGACCCTTTTCTCAGACCAGGAGCAGGGCCCAGATTAGGTGGGCAGGGGGTTGCTCCTGTAGCCCAGAAACAGCTGCCTTGGGGGGGGGGGGGGGGGGGGG